GTATGCTAGGTACTCTGCTAGGGGTCTGGGATTCAAAGAGAGGGGCCGGGCTCAGTTTCTCATGCCTGTAGTCCCAACATTTTGGAGGCCGAGAAGTTTGAGACCGCCCTAGACAACATGGAGAGACCCTGTCTTCACAAACACACAAAAATTGCTAGTGCCAGGAGCAGTAGTTCATGCCTGTCATCCCAGCACTTTGAGAGGCCAAGGTGGGAGGATCACTTGAGCCCAGGAGTTTAACAACAGCCTAGGCAACATGGAGAGACCCTGTCTCTACAAAAAATAAAAATAAAAATAAATTAGCCAGGTGTGGTGGTGCACACCTGCAGCCCCAGCTTCCCAGGAAGCTGAGGTGGGAGGATGGCTTCAGGCCTGGGAAGTCAAGGCTGCAGTGAGCCATGATCGTGCCATTACACTCCAGTCTGGGCAAGAGAGCAAGACCCTGTCTCAAAAAAACAATAACAAAAACAAAAATCACTCAGTAACTCTAAAGTAAAATATGTCAACTTGTGACTAAGGATTCATGTGGAAGAAGAAAAGGATCTAATATCGTAACTGAACATCAAGGTTATGGGTTAGAACTAGAAGATGTCAGTTTTACTTTTAAATTTATTTATTTTTTGTATTTATTTATTTTTGTTTGTTTGTTTTTTGATGGAGTCTTGCTCTGTTGCCCAGGTTGGAGTGCAGGGGTTGCTCACTGCAATGTCTGCCTCTTGGGTTCAAGCAATTCTCCTGCCTCAGCCTCCCAAGTAGCTGGGACTACAGGCACCTGCCATCACGCCCAGCTAATTTTTGCATTTTTAGTAGAGAGCGGGGGTTCACATGTTGGCCAGGCTGGTCTCTAACTCCTGACCCCATGATCCACCCGCCTCGGCCTCCCAAAGTGCTTACAAAGGGATTACAGGTGTGAGCCACCACACCTGGTAATTTCTTTCTTTTTTATGTCCTTCTCTGCCTATATCACAGAATATCAAATATAAGAAGTGAAGTGCCTGCAATCACTTTTTTTTTTAACTCTTTTCTCTGACATAACCTCTGTTAAACTTGGGAATAAATAAAGGTACTATCACCAGGCTAGGAGAAGATTAGCATTGCTTAAGGTTAGGATTTAAAAAAAACAAAACAGGCCAGGCATGGTGGATCATGCCTGTAATCCCAGCACTTTGGGAGACTGAAGCAGGCAGATCATAAGGTCAGTAGATCGAGACCATCTTGGCTAATATGGTGAAACCCCGTCTCTACTAAAAATACAAAAAATTAGCTGGGCATGGTGGCATGCGCCTGTAATCCCAGCTACTCGGGAGGCTGAGGCAGGAGAATTGCCCGAACCTAGGAGGTGAAGGTTGTGGTGAACCGAGATCGTGCCATTGCACTCCAGCCTGGGTAACAAGAGTGAAACTCCGTCTCAAAAAATAAAAATAAAAAAAAAATTAGTTGGGTGTGGTGGCACGAGCCTGTAATCTCAGCTACTTGGGAGGCTGAGGCAGGAGAATCGCTTGAACCCAAGAGGCAGAGGTTGCAGTGAGCCAAGATCACGCCACTGCACTCCAGCCTGGGTGACGGAGTGAGATTCTGTCACAAAAAAAATTAAAAATAAAAAAGTCACAGATTTGCAACTACTGTCAACCTTTAAAAAAAGTTTAATCTTTACAACCCTGTGGTCCCCTCCATTTTACAGCTGAGAGCATTGAAGCACAGAGCTTTAAAAACTTGCCCAAGATCTTACAGCTAGTAAGTAGCAGAGCTCGGATTTGCACCAAGTCTATTCAATTCCAGTGCCTATTACTCACCACATCATCCTGCAAAAAGAGAAACCTTGTGTGGGCCCATTGCTCTCAAGTTGTCTTGTGGCCATAAGTGCACCCTTGCGGGAGCAAGCTGGTACAGACAACCAGAAAAGTGTATGGCCAGGCCAGTACAAAGCCAACTCTGCTCCAGGGAAATAGTGATAGTGCCATATTCAACTAATCGTCAAATTTTAATATCATGGATGCCACTGAATGTATCTTAATCATTCTCATGAATATTTTGTAATATGAGACATTGAGAAGATAAGACAGTATTGAAATAAATATCTAGATTTAAATGAAGTATAAAATTTGAATGATTAGTAGAGGGAAGTAGAGGATAGTAAATATGTGTGAAAATAACATAAAAGTTAACTTTAGATATATTCGCTTTAAATACTGCATGTGCAGTATACCAATTTATATCCTCTTTAATATTATAGTCTTTTTCATGTGCATGTGTGATATATTGTCCATTCACCAAGACTATAATCCCTGGGACCAATAGTGTATTTTCTTTTAAAAAGAAATCAACATTAAAATAGGAAAGGTTGTCTAAGCTTACTCTCAAGTAGTTTAATAAATTTGAGGCAATAAATTAGGTTATGGATACTTGTAAGCAAAAATATCAACACGATGTAGGTGATTTATTCCAACTTTGATTTGTTACATTTGGAGGAATTGGCTGTTGGATTTAGAAGTGTACAAAATAGCATTAGAGAGTGAAAAAAAAAAGGGAAGTCTGTTATAACTGAATAGGGGTGTGGTCTGCTCAGGCTAAAAGGAATAGATAGTAGTTTCATAAAGGACTGCTATAAGTGTAGAATCTTCAGAACCGGCCACTACAGCCAGCACGTTTTCTGTACAGACGTTAAGTATGTCTATTAATACCAGCCAGCTTGGTGAGTTAGAGAAACCACAGTTTGTGGATTTGGGCACATGCACTCTCTGCCTGCATCTAATCCTTCGAGTAACCATATACCTACAATTCCTGTAATCCTAGAGCAGTTACATGGATGCACTAAGTGGTGTGATGGGAGGGAAAGATACCACCACAAGGATTCGTTTGATTATAACAGTAATCCACACCAAGTCAAATAAAATAGCCAAACAGTTTAGAATGTGGTCTCTAATGAATCTGCTAATTTTAGCAGGCCCTCACGAACATTTCCTGCTAGAGTACCCCATCTCAAAACGAAGTGGCTGTTCTTTAATTACATGGAATAATTATTTGATTTCCAGGAAGTTAAGACAGTGCATTGTATTTAAATAAAAAGTTCTAGACATGCTGTGAAACTCGATCAAACCAAGAAAAAGGGTGAAACTGAATGCCTGCTCAGTGACTCAAGATTTCAGCTGCTCAGCGAGCCTGACGTGACGGCGTGTGAGCCCAGAAAAGGGGTATTTTAAACCCGGCTGGCTGGATCATGTCAGTTTCTCATAGAAGCCCTGCCTTTCCAGAGACCTAAAGTGTAACCCAATCACAGACCTTGGAGGGGCTCGAGGCTCGGCGGCTTCCGCCCCTCGGCACCAGCAGAGACCCTAGGTTTCAGGGGACAGGGTCCCATAGCGTCGCCCTCACTTTTGAAGGGTCATTAAAAGCCTGGGGCCTCTTATCTCAACGGCTTTGGGCGTGAGTGTGGGGCAAGAAGGGGGGGGAGGCCTGTGGGTGTCTCTTTTGCCTGAGGAGTTAGAGACACTTGTGGAAAAGTCAGGCACTTTTCGCTCCGGCGGCCGCTCCGGTGTGGGGCTGGCTTGGGTTAGACACATGCACACATACACCATAGAGCTCTGCTTTCCCGTAGCAGCTGCTGCCTCTGCCTCTGCCTCTCCCGCCTCAGCCTCTTTGCCCGGCATACACACACATTCAGATTTGCGCGCTGTTTCAATCCTTGATGACGTGTCCCCGGAGACAGCCAATAGCAAACGGGCTCTGGTCAGGACAATGGGAGGTATCGGACCAATGAGCGAGCCCCGTGAGTTGGCGGTAGCCAATAGGAGCCGCGCTGGCTGGAGAGTAATGTTACAGAGCGGAGAGAGTGAGGAGGCTGCGTCTGGCTCCCGCTCTCACAGCCATTGCAGTACATTGAGCTCCATAGAGACAGCGCCGGGGCAAGTGAGAGCCGGACGGGCACTGGGCGACTCTGTGCCTCGCTGAGGGTGAGTCTGGGGCAGCGCCGCGGCGGGGAGAACGCCTCCGGCAGCTTCCCAGCCCGCGCGGCGGCCGGATCCCCGCGGCCGGGAGCCGGCGGGTCAGGATCCACACAAAGGCAAATGAGGGGGGACTGTGGGGGGAACTGCGCACGGAGCGAGCCTCTGCCCGGGCGCCGGGAACGCTGCCCCGCGCCGGAGCCTCAGCCCTCAGGCAGCCTGAGGCGCTGGGAGCCCCGCGCCCCGCGAGTTTCTACCCCCGGCGGCGTCCGCGCTGACTGGCGCAAAAAAAAATTTTTTTTAATTAAAAAAATTTTAGACCGTGTTTTGGGCCCCCGGGCCGGGCGTTCGGGCAGGCGGCGTGCGCGGAGGGTGGCCGGGGCGGCGGGGCCGGCGCGGCTCGGCGGCGGCGGGAGGGCAGCGGCGGCGCTTCCTCGGGCTGCATTGGCCGCCGCCGCAGCGAGCCGGGCGCCGGCGGGGAGCGCGACCGGCCGGGCGGGCGGCGGGGCGGGCGGGGTGCCGCGGCGGGCGAAGGCGGCGCGGGGGCCCGGGGGCGGCGGTGCGGGCCCGGCCGGCCTCGGCCCGGGCGCGGCGGCGGCGGCGGCCGGGCGGCGGGGGGAGCGGCGCCGCTGCGCTCGCTGGAACATGGCTGACTCGGGCCCGGAGCTGCTGGCTGAAGAGAAAACAAGGCGGGCGGGCGGGCGGGGGAGCTGGGCGCAGCAGTTCCGAGGCAACTTTTTTTTTCCTCTCTCTTTTCACAGCCCCGCGTTCTCCGTGCGGGGGCGGCGGGGCGCGCGGCCCGCGCGGAGGGAGACGGGGAGTGGCGGGCGGGTGGGCCCTCAGGCGGCCCCCACCGCGGCGGGGGGAGGGGAGCGGCGCGGAGGGGAGGGCCCGGCCGCGCGCCCCCCGCCCCTCCCCCGGCCGTAATGGCCGAGTCTGTGCTCCAGAGCGCGGCGCGCACCCCGCCCGCCGCTGCCGCCGCCGCCGCGCCCGCACCCTCGCACTCACACTCACACACACACACACACACACACACACACAAAGGGAAGGAGCCATATTCTCGCTCGCGCTCGCCCTCGCGGCGGCGGCGGCGGCGCAGGCGGGGAAGACGCGCAGCGGCCATTCCGTGCGCGCCGGCCCCGGCGGCCGCGGGCGGAGCCAGCCCCCATTTCGAGCGGGGCTTCTCCCTGCGCCGAGCCTGACAAAATGGGGGCGGCGGCGGCGGCGCGGGCCTGCGGGGCCTGCTGGGCGCACGTGGCGGCCTCGGGCCTGGGAGCCGCGCTGCGTCTTCTCGGCCGCCCGGCCGCAGGGGAAGTTCTGGGGTCGGGGGCCCGCCCCGCGCGGGGGTCACCCCAACTTTGACGGCTCCACAAAATACTTCCTAGTGGGGGGAGGGGGCCACCGAGCCACGAGCAGGAGTGGCTTTTGTCCCTCATCCTTGTTTACTCAGAGAAACTTCAGACCGGACGTGTTTAGTCAGAACAGAAATACATCTCAGGGCCAAACCGATAGGAAGCGAGGCTGCCTCACGGTGGCACCGCCACCCCCGCCCCCCCAGCCGTGTTCCGAGCTCCGGAGTTGGCTGCTGCTCCCTCCTCGGAGCAAAGTTTTATGCAGAGAGGGTGGTTTTTAAAACTTTCGGTGCACGGTGATTTTTTTTAAGGTCCCGTTAAATTAGGAAGAGTCGACTCACTTACAGGCCCCTGTTTATTCCCTGTCTAGTGCAAATCCACGAATTGGCAGCATGTTTTCTGACCTTTGGTTGGTTTAAAATGATGTTCTAGATTTTAAAATCGTTGAAGTGACCAAGTTACTTATTCAGAGCAGACGCAGGCTGATAGGGAATACTGTTATGTGGGTATATCTTTGTGTCTAGACTTTTTTGAGATCACCCTGAAGGACCGTTTTTGTTTTGTTTTTGCTTGGTATAGCCCCTTCAAGGAATTTAATCTCTCTGCCATATTCTTGTCTGGTTTTACGGAGGTTGATGTCACTGCTGTGTTAAATAACCACTACCTTGGTTTTCATTCCCTTATTAAGTACTTTAAGCTTCATACGTGTCATAATTTTCATTGCTAACATCAAATATTTATCTTATTTTTTAGAAAAATAACTAAACATGGGCAAAGGAGATCCTAAGAAGCCGAGAGGCAAAATGTCATCATATGCATTTTTTGTGCAAACTTGTCGGGAGGAGCATAAGAAGAAGCACCCAGATGCTTCAGTCAACTTCTCAGAGTTTTCTAAGAAGTGCTCAGAGAGGTGGAAGGTAAGAGGGCTTAAAGCATGCTAACAAGGTAATTAAAAGACAATTTCCAATTGAGGATGAAGCCTAGCTGGCGTTTGTATGACCCTATTACATGGCAAAAGTCATTGGTTTTGAGGATAATTTATTTAAATTTTACAACTTAAATTTACAAATAATTCTTTTGTAGACCATGTCTGCTAAAGAGAAAGGAAAATTTGAAGATATGGCAAAGGCGGATAAGGCCCGTTATGAGAGGGAAATGAAAACCTATATTCCTCCTAAAGGGGAGACAAAAAAGAAGTTCAAGGATCCCAATGCACCCAAGAGGCCTCCGTGAGTATCTTGCCTGTTTTTATTTCCTAGACATGTTTTACAGTAGAATCTGAGAGACGTAGTAAGCAGCTGTGTCAGTTCAGAGTGTAAGTGTACAATCAAAGTTTCTTAGCTAATACTTGTTCATGCAGGTTATATTTAAATAGTATACATAAAATACCTGTTGAGTGGGAGTGTTCCTCCAAGCATTTGCATTAGACACGGTCTCCTTTACCCAGTGTATCTCCTTTAGATCCTTTTTTTCCTGAAAAATGCTCTCTCTCTGAAATAGTGTAATTGCAGAATGTTCATCTGGGGCCCTGGCTAGTATAAATTAAATAGTTGTTAGTTAAGCTTTGGTTGTGAAGGATATTTATCGTCTTATAGTATTTGCACCCTGTCCAGTGCATCATAGAAATTCACAGGCAGCTTTAAATAACAATGGTAGTACATTTGGTAGTATTTGTTTTTATGATCTGTTAACTTAAAATCCTAAAATTGAAGTTATTTTTTTTTTAGTTCGGCCTTTTTCCTGTTCTGCTCTGAGTATCGCCCAAAAATTAAAGGAGAACATCCTGGCCTGTCCATTGGTGATGTTGCGAAGAAACTGGGAGAGATGTGGAATAACACTGCTGCAGATGACAAGCAGCCTTATGAAAAGAAGGCCGCGAAGCTGAAGGAAAAATATGAAAAGGTAAGTATGGGTTTGCTTGGTAAAATGAGGAAGAGTATGCCAGATGTGGTATGATTGTACTTACTTTGAGGTGTAATAAGCTTTTAGTGTAATAGATACATTAAGTATGCTGTTGACATAAGCCCTTTCTCGCCCTTCGAAGAATACAGAGGACCAAATAAATTGGGTTTTTTTACTTCATATAATTAGACTCAGACAAAGGATATCCATTTAAGTTGGTTTTACCATTCCCCAGTATCTTGAAGCTTATGAAAATGTTGGTAGTCACTTTAAGTCAAACATAATTATTTTCAAATGGCTTGCCAAACAGTGCAAAAACAAGCTAAACAAAGTTAATATAGGCTCCATTTTTCTTACTCATATCCTGAAACACTTCCTTTCCTTTAGATACTCAGAAAACCACATCACTAAGTTAAATTTCAAGTCTGCTGATCTGTCCAGTAAATAAGGAAATCTGTAACTCTTAAATTGAAATATTAAGTACTTCATTTTTAGCTTCTTTAGTTATTCTGAAGTGTCCATTTCTAGATGTTTCTTAATCTAATTGCATGTTTATTGACAAATTACTTTTTTTTTTTTTTGAGACATCTTCCACTAAGGATTAGGGTCTGACAGTGTAAACCTGTAGAATGCTTTTTTGCATTCAGAAGGTGGCAGTGTCTACCCTTTAATCAGAGTCTCTACATTCTACTTTTAATAGAGTTAGGATGTGGTAGATAATTGCACCTCAATGAGGCATAGCTTTGCAAATATTAGACTGTACCATTTCATAAGTTACAGATTGTTACGATCTTATGGTATTTTTATGTGCATTTATTCAAGTTTTGGTTATTTCTGGAGTTGCAGTGGATCTGCAGATAACTAAAATCTTGATTTTGTTCACATGGTTTTGCCATGTTCTATTTCTTCCCCTAATGTTTTTTTCTTTCCTACTGTCTTGTTCTCCCTTTGCTTTGGAAGGATATTGCTGCATATCGAGCTAAAGGAAAGCCTGATGCAGCCAAAAAGGGAGTTGTCAAGGCTGAAAAAAGCAAGAAAAAGAAGGAAGAGGAGGAAGATGAGGAAGATGAAGAGGATGAGGAGGAAGAGGAAGATGAAGAAGATGAAGATGAAGAAGAAGATGATGATGATGAATAAGTTGGTTCTAGCGCAGTTTTGTTTTCTTGTCTATAAAGCATTTAACCCCCCTGTACACAACTCACTCCTTTTAAAGAAAAAAATTGAAATGTAAGGCTGTGTAAGATTTGTTTTTAAACTGTACAGTGTCTTTTTTTGTATAGTTAACACACTACCGAATGTGTCTTTAGATAGCCCTGTCCTGGTGGTATTTTCAATAGCCACTAACCTTGCCTGGTACAGTATGGGGGTTGTAAATTGGCATGGAAATTTAAAGCAGGTTCTTGTTGGTGCACAGCACAAATTAGTTATATATGGGGATGGTAGTTTTTTCATCTTCAGTTGTCTGATGCAGCTTATACGAAATAATTGTTGTTCTGTTAACTGAATACCACTCTGTAATTGCAAAAAAAAAAAAAGTTGCAGCTGTTTTGTTGACATTCTGAATGCTTCTAAGTAAATACAATTTTTTTTATTAGTATTGTTGTCCTTTTCATAGGTCTGAAATTTTTCTTCTTGAGGGGAAGCTAGTCTTTTTGCTTTTGCCCATTTTGAATCACATGAATTATTACAGTGTTTATCCTTTCATATAGTTAGCTAATAAAAAGCTTTTGTCTGCACACCCTGCATATCATAATGGGGGTAAAGAAGTTGAGATAGTTTTCATCCATAACTAAAAATCCAAAATCTTGATCAGTTAAGAAATTTCACATAGCCCACTTATATTTACAAACTGAAGAGTAATCGATCTACTCACAGCATGGGACTATTAGAATCAAACATTTTGAAAGTCTGTCCTTGAAGGACTAATAGAAAAGTATGTTCTAACTTTTACATGAGGACTCTATTCTTTAACTCCCATTACCATGTAATGGCAGTTATATTTTGCAGTTCCCACGTTAAAGAAGACCTGAGAATGTATCCCCAAAAGCGTGAGCTTAAAATACAAGACTGCCGTATTAAATTTTTTGTTGACATTAGTCTCGGTGAAGACTATGAAAATGCTGGCTATAGATGTGTTTTTCCATTAAATATGGACTGCTCAGGAAACAAGACTTTCCATTACAAATATTTTTAATTCATTGGGCCAGCTTTTAAAATGAAGATACCACATTCAGAATAGGGTATATTTTCCTATATTATGGTTTGCCCCTTTAAATCCAAGTAGATAGGAGGAAAGAAAAACTTTTCCTCTGAGTGTGAATTATTCAATTTATTTGGATGATTTTTCTTTAAAACCCAAATTCATTCATTAGTCATATTTATCTACTTATCAGTTTAGGGAACAATTTGGCAATTTTGCGGTTTTTGAGATTATCGTTTTCTTAAAGTGCCAGTATTTTAAAATAGCGTTCTTGTAATTTTACACGCTTTTGTGATGGAGTGCTGTTTTGTTATATAATTTTGACTTGGATTCTTTCCATTTGCATTTGTTTATGTAATTTCAGGAGGAATACTGAACATCTGAGTCCTGGATGATACTAATAAACTAATAATTGCAGAGGTTTTAAACATTAGTTAAATGGCTTTCACTTAAGAATTTTAAGATTTTATTATATATTTTTAAATCTTGTTTCTAATACCTCTTAGCGGTACCTTATAAATAAGTATAAGCACTGGCAAAGTTTTTCCCTTTAAAAATACTCACTTTATGCTTATAAATAGGTTAATGGGGTGATAAAGGTTTTGTCAGGCATTGCAAGTACTCTTGGTGCTATATATAAATGAAGAAAAGCTAATTTTACTTTCATAATTTAAGATTTTTAAAAAGGTACATGTAAGTGAATAGGGTTCATGATAGGCTGCAATTGTGTCAACATCAGATTTTTTTGTCATGGGGAAACAAATGACTCAATCTGATTTAGATGAAAGTTTCTAATCTAGAAATCACCATTGTCAACCTTAGTTCATTCTGATCCATTTAAAATGAATTCTGGCTCAAGAAGACTTCGTAACTTTAGTTGAGAATGGGAACAGAGTTTTTTAGGGTTAATTCTTGAACTGACCACAGATCTTAAGAAAATGGACAAAACCCTCTTTAATCTGAAGACTAGTATAGTTTGGTTTGGTGTTCCAACAGTATCCCCTAGAAATTGGATGTCTAAAACTCAAGTAAATGGAAGTGGGAGGCAATTTATAAAGTGTATAGGAACTGTTTTTATGCCAGGATAGTTATAGTGCTGTGTGGTATAAAGACCGTTGACAGCAACAAAAGATAAAACAATCTATAATTAGTTGGACCAGCTTTTGAAATGAAGATGCTTTTTAAAACTAAGATGTATAAATCAGGTTTTTTTTTGCATTTGAAAGATTGGCATATGGCGTATTGATTAGAGTCAGATTTCTTAACTTTTGCTGTGCAAAGGTTGAGAGCTATTGCTCTCAACCACAGTTCTGATGATCATCGCATCACAGTATTACTGTTTGCTGTATTTATTAATTTTCTTAAAGTGAAATATGAAAAATGAAATTTGCATGTCCTGTGTACCCCGGGGTAATGATTAAATGATAAAAAGGAAAAGTGTCCATGTGACACAAACTGCTGTTCAACAGGTATTTCCCTTCTATCCAAAGAATTGGAACCATTGCTCAGACAGTAGGATTTGACTATGCGGAAAACCACAGGAGAGACAGCAGTGGCTTTTGACTGAAAAGCATGGCCACTACCTTGCTTGACATTCCATAGTCCTTGAAAGTTCACATTTAGGTCTGCTTGATACAACACACCTCCGAAAGGGTCTGATAGCTTTCAGTACCAGGCAAGACACTTCTGCACATGATGGTAAGGTATCTGCAAATTTGTACACACCAAACACAGCTTAAGTCTTTGAATTAACTTGCTAAAATGTGAGCCATTGGCTAGTAATTAAGGTGTCTTATTAGGGAGTGTGATAATATTTGAATTTATTTTTCATATTTGTGCTTTGTGTCACTTTCAAATGACCCTTGAAATGCCTTTTCAAACTAGATAAAAGCCAGAAAATGATTTGATTGGCTATCCAGCAAAAGATGGAAGGTGATTCATTTTCTTGTCCCTCTTTTAATACCAAGGCAGTTCTAACACTTGCCACAACTTGGGAAATTCCCTGGGTCTACGCCAAATTGCTCCCAGAGTAATGAAGCAAAATGTTACTGTGTTCTAGGATTGCTGCTGTTTCACAATACGTCATGACAGAAATGCCATACAACATGGAATGACATAAACATAATATGCCACACTCCTGAATATGTAATGCTCATCTTCCAGGGGGTGTCAGTCTAAGACAAAAATCTACCAGGAAGAAATGATAGATATCTTTAGGCACATACTTTGATTTGGACCTTCTAATTGAATTTTTACTTATTTTGATATGGGGTCTTGCTGTATTGCCCAGGTTGGTCTCCAAATCTGCTCAGTCCTCCCACCTCAGTCTTCCAAGTAGTGGGGATTACAGGGACATACCACTGCTTAAATAGTTGAATTTATTGGGCATCCACTGAAAAAAAGAAAGTAGGAATAAAATCTGCAATAATAAGAATAAACCTGTAAGTGAGCATGAGCAATGGTGGGCAAGGGTACGCAGTCTCTGGAATCCAGAAATAGAAAAATCAGTGGAAAGCTAGGCACAGTGGCTCACACTTACAATCCCAGCACTTTGGGAGGCTGAGGTGGGAGGATCACTTGAGGTCAGGAGTTTGACACTAGCCTGGGCAACATAGTGAGACCTCGTCTACTAAAAATAATTTTGTGGATATACTGTCATTATAAAATCAGTATTTTATAATGACAGTATTTCAGTATTTTAATTTCTCATTTTTAAAAATGAAGTTCTCTCATAGAGCCAAAGAAAACCAGTAAAAATCTTGATTCATTGCAAAGTCATTGTTAAAATGTTTCACAGCATAAATACAGTAGAAAAGGGATTAGAGCGATCCTTATAAATTACGTTCTCATTCATTTTTCTCTAGTCACATGATTCAGTCATGGAAGTGACATTCCACAGTATGGTGCTCCATGATACATATTTTTTCTTTTTTCGATCTCACTAGTATATGATCCACAATATTTTTTATCATTCCCTTACGGATGGACATTTAGGTTGTTTCCTATTGTTTGCTATTTAATAATACTGCGCTGAACATCTGTACATTTCTCTCAGGCATGTGTGGGTCTTCAGGTACCTCAAAAGTAGAACTGCTGAGTCAAAAGACATTTGCAGTTAACATTTTGGCAGATACTGATAAATTGCCCCCTTTACCCCGCAAAAGCTGTATTTATGCTGTGAAACATTTTAACAATGATTTTGCAATGAATCAAGATTTTTACTGGTTTTCTTTGGCTCTATGAGAGAACTTCATTTTTAAAAATGAGAAATTAAAATATTGAAATACTATCATTTGTCCAGAGCTACCCGACCGGAATAAGAAACAGGCAGAATCAACTGAACGACTCTAAGGACAAACTTACTGCTTTATTTAAACTGCTAAACTATTTCTCAAACTCCTGGCCTCAACCTATCCTCCCTCCCTCCCTCCTCAGCCTTGTTGCTGAGATTACAGGCATGAGCCACGGTGCCCAGCCTAAACTGCTAAACTATTTCTCTAAATAATGAATCCACTGTGCGAAAATGAGGAGGTTCTTTCCCATTTTGATATGCTCTATCCTAAATGGAAGTATGTGGTAGTTTTTTGTTGTATTCTGGGGAGGGGTCTTTTCTAGCAGAGATTGTATGTCAATCTTACAGAAGCCGCAGGCACCAGTTTTAGAAAAGCAAGTCTGGCGATAAAGTGTAGCAAAAGGATAAGAAATGTGTGGCCCAGATTCTAGGTATTAGGAGACAGGTATTTGGAAAGGCAGAATGGATTCTGAGCATTTGCCTTAAATGAAATAAAGTTCACCAGTTCCTTGCTGGAGATGGTACTTGATGGTAAAGGGCACATTCCCAAATGTGCTTATAAACGAAACTGTATTTACATGCTTTAAGTGAAATTAAGCTTAGTTCCTTAGAATTACACAGACTCTCTCGTTAGAGGCTTTACCACATATTTTGTTTGTTAGCTTTTGCTTTTTGGGTTTTTTCTCCCTTCTTTTCACAGGTGTTGACTGTACCATAGTTTTGTTTATTGGGTTTCAATTAGAGATTATTTTATAAAGTGTTCTGAAAATAACCAACCTAAAATAAGGATCTGTTGAGTGTGAGAGAGTGCTCCTAAAAATAAAGAAAAACAAGATGCTCAGTTGCCACAGCCCCAGGTGCCACTGTAATCCCTGGAAGAGATGAAGAGTAAGAACTTGGAGGCTACTTAGAGCAAAGATATTGTAGCTCCCCCACCCCTACACTGCAGCACCCACTTCCCCAGGATTCACTCTACCATCTGGAATCAGCCTGGCTGGGGCTTGGGCACAGGGAATGGGGCTAGGTACACTTAGGCTCAGAAGCAGAGAGGCTGACTGGAGAGCCTCTTTCCAGGTAGGGACAGAATAAGGCATAGCACCAGTGTAGGGTCCTAGCATATTAGAGGAGAAGGGGCTCTAAAGGCCACTGCAATCTAATCTGTGCATTGTTACAGAGTGGTGGACAGAGGTCCATAGGGATTCAGAGGCTTGCTCAAGGACAAACGGCAGTATCAAAACACCCCTAGCAGCGCCAGGCTCAGAGTAGGTGCAAAAAAGATGTGAGCTCTTCCCCTTCCCTTAAGGATAGCAACAAAGAGGCTGGACAGCTTCCTCATTGCCCCTCACTTCCGGCCTGGGTTCTCTTTCTATGGCTACAATTGTTACTGTGCTAGGATAGCCAGTGCATTCTGCCATCACTGCGGTTCTTCTCTGGCTTTCTCCTTTGAGTTGACTTGGACAGCACATTTCTGAACTGAACCTAACCAAACTAAACAAATACTCCCCATCATGTAGAAAGTTACAGGCTATCTGATTCTAAAGGGCTGGTAATCGCCAAAAGAATGGATGTTGCTTAGGACTGTAGCCTGATCCTCTGGAAGTAGAAGGAAGAAGCAATATGCTACACACGATAACAACTTTTTTGAAAAACCGGTTGCCCTTATTATAAATGAAACTTACATGATTGAAACAAAATAAATAAGAAAACAAAAATCGATAATTCTACCAGTCAGCAAGACTAATACCACATTATGTGCCCTTCCAGTTTCTATATATAACATGTATATATATATATACAGGTATTTTAAAAATTGAGGTGAAGCTCACATAACATAAAGTTAACCTTTTAAAGTGAACAATTCAGTAGCATTTAGTACATTCACAATGTTCTGCAACCATCACCTCTATCTAGTTCCAACATGCTTTCATCACCCAAAAAGGAAACCCTGTACCCATTAATTTCCTCCCCACAGGCCCCTGGCAACCACCAATCTACATTGTCTCCAGGGATTTATCTATTCTAGATATTTCATGTAAATGGAATCATACAATATGTGACATTTTGTGTCTGGCTTCTTTCACTTCATGTAATATTTTACGGTTCATTCTCATTTATCATGTATCAGTACTGCATTCC